AATCCATCTCGAGTGGCTTCCTTTTCTTCCATGTCCCCCCACTCTACCAAGCATAATAAGGTCCTTCTCCAGGCATCTCCTGTCAGCATGTCCAAAATAGAGATGAGAGAGGGTCATCATCCTTGCCTCTGAGGATCCCTCTGACTGTCCTGAGTTAAAGACAGATTTGCTTGTCCTTTTACCAGTGCTGATACTTCCCATATTCTTTTCTGGCACCACCATTCAGATGCATTGCTTCTTCTTTGGTCTTTATTCACTGTCCTACTTTCAGGTGCACACGAGGCAGTTGAAAATACCATGACTTAGGCTTGATACACTTTAGTCCTCAAAGTAACACTGTTGCTTTTCAATGCTCCAAAGAAGCCTATGTAGCTCTAATAGCTTATATCTACAGTTTCCGTGCCATGCTTTTGTTTCATTCTTGTCTCCTCTGTGTTGTGTGGTGTGAGCCCAAGTTTCTGCAGTTAGGTTGCAACTTCCATATTCTCTTTTTATTATCCTTTATTTTTGAACACTTGTGCATATGTTTATTTCATCCTAGTTCGTTTTGAAAGTGATTTATGTGTCCATGCATATCCATTTGCTATTTAACTATGTTCAGATAGATAAAAACCAATATTATCATATGCCCTCCTTCCACTGCCTCACCATCCCTAGTATTCAATAAACATAATTCATATTCTTCTTTTGGTCCCTAGGTTGAGGACCAATAAAACTTTGTAAGCTTTTTTATTTTTCCCCTGTATCATCTAATTTTTCACTTTTGATGATAGCATTTAAAAAAAAAAACCCTTCCAGGAGCATTTAATCACATGAAATTGCTGAAGCTGTTTAAACCATAAGACCTCCATATTTCTTTAAGTAAATACTCCTGACAGACGCGTACCAATTCAAAGTCTTTTATTTTTCCTAACTCAGAAAACTTGTAGATTAACTTTTGTTTGCTTGTTTTTCATGTCATTAAATTTAATTGACTATGTCCACATATCCCATTTCCCCTCTTATCTCTTTGATTCAGGAGTCCTTTCAAATTGAACTTGGCAGCACTCTTCAGTTATAAACATTCTTAGTCATTATTTCCTTAAGCACACCTCTCTGTTCCATTTTTTTCTTCTCTGGAATTATTGCTAAATTAATTTTTGATATTTCTATTTGTACTGTTCATAAATCTTACCTTTTCCTTTTATTAGTGCTATTTATTTATTTTTGATTGCTTTCTGGGAGAGTTTTGTACTTTTATTATTCACTTTACTCTTTAACTGAATCCATTCTCTCATTTAATCTGTCATTAATTTCTTAATTTCCTATCTTATGCTTTTACCTCAGTGCTTCTATTGAGTTTGTCTTAAAAATGCATTTTCTAACTTTATATCTCCAACATTGTTTCTTAGTTGTTACTTGTTGAGCTGTGATCACATGGTCAGCAGTTGAGTTAGTTTATTGTGCCAACCTGTCCGATAAACACATGTGGGGTTAATTGAAGGGCGGAAAGATCAATGGCTTGGTGAGCCTTGCCTTTCTAGTTCTCGGGTCTCTTGCTTTCTGAAAATGTGTTAGACAGGGTTCTCCAGAGAAACAAAACCAGAATATTAATAATTTTATATATATTTATGCAGCTAGACAGATAACATAAGAAATAAACAGTTAATTAAATTATAAAGTAGTACAAATGGCTCAGTGCAACAGATTCTTCATGCCAAAAAATATGATTGTTTTCTCAGAGCACTGGGTTGATGTAAGTAGGCTATATAGAAGTTGGATACCTAAAATTGGGGGGATAAAAGCATGAAGTAGTTGGCTTACAAATTTTCATAGGTGAGCAGCCCAACACATGACCTCTGCACCACCAAGGCAAAGTTTACTTCACCAGACCTCCGCCAAACGGCATTCTGGTTGCTTCTATCTTTATGTTATTTTGGACATTGCTGAGGTAAACATGGGTGTGCATATATCTATCCTTTCATGTTTTATTTCTTTGAGGTAGATAACCAAGAATAAAGAGATTTGTAGGTCAAAAGGGAGTTCCATTTACCTTCGGTTGAAAGATGCTCCGCTCCATACTTTTATAATAAGTGTATTGTTCTGCAATCCTACCAGTAGTTTCTGAGTGTTCCAATCCCTCCACATCCTATGCAGCACTTGTTATTTTCTGGAATTTGGATTGGAATTGCATTGTTTTTATAGACTGATTTTGGTAACTTTGACAAGTTCATTATATTGTCTTTCTGTCAATGAACATAGATGATTCTCCCATTTATTTACGTCTCTTGTAGTAGCATTTTGTCATTCTCTTTATCTAAGTCTTTTTTTTTAATCTAGTTAGGTTTAATCCTAAGTATTTCATCTTTTGGGTGGTTATTGTAAAAGATATCCATATATATAATTTTTCTTTCCAGATGTATCCCCCTTAGTATACTAGAATTCCGTTTATTTTATTATGTTGATCTTATTACCTGCTACCTTGCCAACTTTTCCAATTAGTTATCGCAATTTCTAAATCAAAACTTTGGAGTTTTTATATTTAAAATAATATAGTCTGCAAACGGAGAGACTTTTACTTCTTTGTCAATTTGGATGCTTTTGATTTCTTTTTGATGTCTGTTTGCTCTGGATAAGGTTTCCAGGACCATCTTAATTAAGAGTGGTAATAAAGGGCAACCTTGTCTGATTCCTGTTCAGAGTGAAATGTTGGCCATTGGATTTTTTCATATATGGCCTTTATTATGTTGAGGAATTTCCCATCTAACCCTTCTATCTATTTATTGAGCGTTTTTATCAAAAATTGATATTAAGCTTCATTGAATATCTTTTCTGCATCAATGGAAAATCATATGATGTTTTTCTTCTGATTTATTTATGTGGTGGATTACATTGACTGTTTCTATAATACTGAACCATAGTTCCCTACCAGGTACAAATTCCACTTTATCATAACATATCTTTTTTCAATATTTTGTTAAATTCTATTGAATAGAATTGTGTTGATGATTTCAATACCTATATTTATAAAGGACATTGGTCTGTGATTTTTGTTTGTTTGTTTGTTTTAAGACAATTAAGCTAATTGGCAAGTAGTAGTGAAAATACTAGAGTGTTCATCCCAGCTTGAGTTTTGAGTTGTTAAATTATTATTTTTTTCAATGTCATCTCCTGTTAGGGAAGGTTTCAGGGTTGGTATCAGCAGCATATATTGGTTCTCTGTCATTTCAGAGACGGGCAATGGAACTTGAAAAGAATTCCAAAAAACCCATTCAACACGATGTTCTTATACCCAAATATATTAAATTATTTTGAGAACAACTTGAATTTAAAATTGTCTTTCCTTGCCATCTAAAGTTACAGTAAACGCTGTTGTGTAAATTCAATCCTATTATGTCTAGACACAATTCATTGCAATGAAATTATTTTCTCATTGCATACTTAGAAATTCCTGGTTATTAATGTTGAATTACCAAAGCAACTTCTGTGTATGGGGCAATGTGTTCTTTGAATTGTTCTTAATTCAACACCTTATCTGTTTTAGAGTGTAATATTTCCATGACATATAATATTGACGAGTTTTCTATCTGCATTGTCTGCATATTTGTTGTTGTTAAATGACACTGAGTCAATTCTGACTCATGACAACCCCATGTACAATAGAATGAAGTCTTGTTCAAGCTTTATGATAGTTGATATGCTTATTGTTGCTATTGAGTTTTGAGTGCCTTAAAACCTAGGGGTCTCATGTTCTAGATTTGTTTTAGTTTTTTTTAATCATTTTATTAGGGGCTCATACAACTCTTGTCACAATCCATACATACATCAATTGTGTAAAGCACATTTGTACATTCATTGCCCTCATCATTCTCAAAACATTTGCTCTCCACTTAACCCCTGGCATCAGGTCCTCATTTTTCCCCTCCCTCCCCGCTCCCTCCTCCCTCATGAGCCCTTGATAACTCATAAATTATAATTTTGTCATATCTTGCCCTGTCTGATGTCTCCCTTCACCCACTTTTCTGTTGTCCGTCCCCCAGGGAGGAGGTCACATGTAGATCCTTGTAATCAGTTCCCCCTTTCCAACACACTCTCCCTCCACCCTCCCAGTATCGCCACTCACACCACTGTTCCTATAGGGCTCATCCGTCCTGGATTCCCTGGATTTCAGTTCCTACCTGTACCAGTGTACATCCTCTGGTCTAGCCAGACTTGCAAGGTAGAATTCAGATCATGATATTGGGGGCAGAGGAAGCATTTAGGAACTAGAGGAAAGTTGTATTTTTCATCTTTGCTACATTGCACCCTGACTGGCTCGTCTCCCCCACAAGACTCCTTTGCAAGGGGATCTCCAGTGGCCTACAAATGGGCTTTGGGTCTCCACTCCGCACTCCCCCATCATTCACTATGGTAAGATTTTTGTTCTAGATTTGTACTGGACACTATTCTTTGGTGGTCCATAGGGTTTTCACTGGCTAATTTTCAGAAGTATAAAAAAGGTCTTTCTTCCTTGTGGGGCTTAGTATGGAAGCTGTTAAACCTGTCCACAGCATGGGTAACTCTGCTTGTATTTAGATACCAGCGGCATTGCTTCCAGCATTACAATAAAATGTGTGCCACCATAGTCTGAGAAAATGACAGACTACTTGCAGACTGTCCTGGGTTTTAACAGGATGATGCTAAAATAATGTTTCTCATAGGATGAAATATTTGTGAAATAGGTGACAGGATTTTTAATACTGGCAAATGCTTTAGTCTATTCAAGGACTGAGAAGTAAATGACCTGGGGAAACAATATGCATCAATGAAACAAATCTGTGTTCGTTGCCTCCAAATGGGATTTGGACTTTCATTGTCACCTGCAGTCTTCTGCAAACCCTGTGTTCAGAATTTAAACTCTAATATCATTCTCTCCTCCAGGTATGGATTTCATTGTCCCTATTCTTGAATCATAGATTCTGGGGTGCATCTTCCATGTGAACATCTCCTTTAGATGGTTGGGTTTTTTCTTTTCTTTTCTTTTAAATATGGAATGATTCACAAATTTGCGTGTCATCCTTGTGCAGGTGCCATGCTAATCTTCTCTGTATCATTACCAATTTTAGTAGATCTGCTGCCAAAGCAAGAATGGCTATTTATTTTAAGACAAGCCTTTAAGACCCAAGATGCTATTCTTTCTGAAGAATCTTTTCCTTGGATTACAATAGCAAGGTACAATGATATCTAATTGTTATTAGATATCATCAATATCTAGTTGTTGTTAAATATGTCAATGAGGGACATCATTGTTCGAAATCTGGCATTAGCAAAGAATTGAATTAGTGTGTTCATGAGAGAATGGAGTAGATTAGTGAACTACTCAATCATGACAGAGTATGTATTAAAAATCATGCTGTCCACACTGGGGATATGGTTCAGGAGATGTGCCCAATCTGACCTCACCACACCAGGTGAAACACTCAGGGCGTACAGCGGAGCAGGAGGGGGAGCAAAGCAACTAAGTTCCTGAGGAAAACCCAAAAGAGATTTTGGGGTCAAGGCGTGGCACCCCATCAGACTTGCTTGGAAAACACTCATAAAAGTCAACAGACAGACCTGGATCTATTTATGGGCTTTTCTTCTTTTGCTGTTGGTTTTGTGGTTGTAGTTGTTGTTCTTTGGATTTTGGTTTTCTTTTGTTGTTATGTTTCACTTTGCTTTGTTTTTGTGCATATTATTATCTCTGCATGTCTATCTATACATAATAGGTGGGATAAACAATCCAGAGGAGAAAAAAATGGAACCGATGGTTCCTGGGAGGCAGAAGGCAGGGCATGGAAGAGGCAGAGGTGGGGGAAAGAAAGAGGGGTGCCAACAAACACAGGGACAAGAGAAGAACAAGTGATCTAAAATTGATAATGAGGAGGGCAAAGGATGGTGGGGTGGAGGTGGGAGGGCTTGATCAAAGGCAATGTAGCTGAGAATTACCAAAACCTGAAAGAAGGCCAAACATAATAGTGGGACAAGAGGAAAGTAAAAGGATATAGAGGAAAGAACTATGAGGCAAAGGACATTTATAGAGATCTAAATACATATTATATATATATAAAATGATAGAGGAGTAGATCTATGTAGATATAATTGTTTGTAAGGTATTAAGGCAGCAGGTGGAAATTGGGCCTCTACTCAATACTCCCTCACTGCAAGAACACTTTGTTCTACTAATCGGCACTCTGTGATGCTCAACTTCCCTGACAGGATCATTGAAGACAAAAGGGTGCACAAGCAAATATGGGGAAGAAAGCTGATGGTACCCGTCTATCAAAAGATATAGCACCTGGGGTCTTAAAGTCTTGAAGATAAGCAAGTGGTCATCTAGCTGAAAAGCAACAATGCCCACATGAAAGAAGTACACCAGTCTGTGTGATCATGCAGTGTCTATGGAATCAGGTATCAGGCATCAAAGACCCCAAACAAAATGGAAATAATCATACCGATGTGAGTGAGAGGAAGGGCAGAGTGGAGACCCAAAGATGATCAGTAGTCAACTGGAAAGCCCCTGTCAGAAGGGTCACAAGGAAGAGATGAGCCTTGGGAGGGTGCTCACAACTTTCCTCTAATTCTTTAATGCTTCCTTCCCCCCACTATCAAGACGCCAATTATACCTTACAAATCCAGCTAGAACAGAACATGTATGCTCTTACAGTTAGAGCTCAAAACACAGGGAGTAGTGATACCAGGAGGGTAATGGAAGGGTGGGCAGGGAGGGAGTGAGAGGGAACCATTCACAATAATCTTCATATAATCTCCTCCCAGAGGGATGGACAACAGAAAAGTGGGTGAATGGAGACTGCAGTCAGTGTAAGACATGAAAAAAAAAGCCATGAAAAAAATAATCATTTCTAAATTATTATATATTTTTCTAATTTATATAAATTATAATTAAATTTATAAAATAAATTTATATAATCATGACAGGGTTCATGAGGGAGGAAGAGGGAGGGAAGGAGGGAGGGAGGGGAAAAATAAGGAGCTGACACCAAAGGCTCAAGTAGAAAGAAAATGTTTTGAGAATGATGATGACAACATATGTACAGATGTGCTTGACACAATGGATATATATATGGATTGTGATAAGAGCTGTATGAGCCATCAATAAAATGATAAAAATAAAATACAATAAACAGATCATGCTGTCCAAAGCTTCCAACATCATAAATCAAGGTAAGATTTAGTACACAACACGCACAGGAAGGGGCAATCATATATTTTATAAAAACTCAGTTCAAGTCTGCTTGGCTTTCAATCATATTTGGGTCAGTATTTTATTTCTTATAATTGGTCCCATATTATTTGCATGTTTATTGTATTTGATCCTTGTATAAAAAAATGTATAAGGGGGATAAACATGATGAGAATCATATGCTAAAAAATATGATCCCTATGGAATTCTATTTATTGTCTTTCCTCTGTAATCAGTACATAAATTTTAAGGACTTTTTATTTTAAATTATATATGGTTAATAAGTGATCATAATCAACCAACTTCGCATTTATTTCCCACGGTATTTCCATAAGTAATTACTCTAGGATATTAGATATACATCTAAATATCATAAATACCCTACAGCTAGACAAGATATGAAGGTTTTTAATAACAAGAGGAAGATAAATGTTTTAAGTATATTTTTTGATATCTTTATACAATTCTAGCCCAAATAGCCATTCTGCTAGTAAGTCTGTGTGGGTACCCAGTCCGAAGTAGCAGCTCTCCTGTGGAATTTTACTACTTTGGTGTGGGGCTCTTCATCCATTAAGCTCATACTAGATTTTTTTCACATATCTTTCTCTTTCTTCCAGAAAGGCTACTCTGCTTCTCATTGACATCTGAAAGTGTACCTGATTAATTTTACTTCCTTGTCTCTCCCTTAGTACACTTGCAAACATACAAAGCTCAATATATTTTGTGACTCAGTAAATATATTTACCTGAAATGCCAAATGAATATTTTGACTTACGAATAAATATTGTACTAAGACTATATTTTGTAAGTATTCACTAACTGAGGTAGCTGACTCCTGTATTCGTCAGGGTTAACTAGAGAAACAAATCCAGAGACATAAGAAAGTTTTATATCAAAGAGTAATCATATATTAAGAAAACATCCGAGCCCAGTCCAGATCAAGTCCATAAGTCCAATATTAGTCCATATGTTTGATACTAGTCTATAAATTCCTCTTCAGACTCACACAAGTAATGGAAGATCACTGGCCAGTGGGTGAAAAGTCTTGTGGATCCAGTGGTGGCGGAAGCATCTCAGTGTTGCTCTGTTGTCTCCACGTGGCTCCTCCAACTCCAACCAGGGCTCTGGTTCCATCAGTCTAGCTCCATGTGGCTTGTCAGCAGAAATACCTCTCACAGCAAGTGTGTGTCCCGCCTCCAGGGAGGAAGACAAGAGTTCCCAGAATCCTCAGGATAAAGCCATGCCCACACAGCCTCACTGGCTGTCACCTGATTGACAGCCTAGACTCCACCCCTTCACAAGTTGACAGATTACATAACTGCCACAACTCCGATTAAATATGTAAGCTTTTAAATTGCCAGACTAATGTGTTAAAATGTCTATAAAAGGCATATGTATTATATTTTTGAACTATAAGTAATTGGAAAAGCTCACTATCATGGAGTAGATTCCAACTCATAGAGGCTATAGAGTACAACTGTACCTGTGGGTTTCTGAAACTGTAAACCTTTACCAGAGTGGAAAGCCTTTAGTGACCAGACGCGGGACAGTCCTGATTTTTAACAATTGTCCCGCATCCCGCAGCGTTTTTAGACATGCAGATGACACTACCTTGCTTGCTAGAAGGGAGGAGGACTTGAAGCATCTACTGAGGTTGTAATTAGGTGCCATCGGGTCACCTGCTGCTCATATTGACCCTGTGCACAACAGAAGGAAACACTGCACGCTCCTGGGCCATCCTCACAATTGTTCCTATGCCTGATCCCCGTGATGAAGCCACTGTGTTAAGCCATCTCATCCGGGACCTTTCTCTTCTTCACTGCTCCCCCTCCACGTACAGGATGTCCTTCTCCAGGAACGGGTCTCCCCTGACAATATGTGCAACGTATACAAGACCAAGACTTTCCTTCCTTGCCTCTCAGGAGCACTCTAGCCTTACTTCTTCCTATACAGATGGTTTGTCCTTTAGCAGTCCATGGTACCTTCAATATCCTTTCCAGCACCACAATTCAAATGCATCGATTCTTCTACAGTCTTCTGTAGTCAATGTCCAACTTTCACATGCATATGAGGCAATGGAGGATACCATGGCTTGGGTCAAGCACAGCTTAGGCTTCAAAGAAACATCCTTGCTCTTTAATAGAGGTCTTGTGTTGCCATTTTACCAAACACAACCCACTGGTTGATCTCTTGACTGCTGCTTCCATGAGAATGGTTGTGGAACCAAGCAAGACAAAATCCTGAACAACTTCAACCTTCTCTGAATTTGTCATGATGTCACCTATTCGTCCAGTTGTGAAGATTTTAATCTTCCTTACATTTAGTGGTAATCCATACTGAAGGCTACAATTCTTTTTTTTTTAAGTCATTTTATTGAGGGCTCATACAACTCTTATCACAATCCATACATACATCAATTGTATAAAGCACATTTGTGCATTCGTTATCCTCAGCATTCTCAAAACATTTGCTTTCCACATAATCCCCTGGCATCGGCTCCTTATTTTTATCCCATCCCTCCCCACTCCCCCCCATGAACCCTTGATAATTTATAAATTATTATTTTGTCATATCTTACACTGTCCGACGTCTCCCTTCACCCACTTTTCTGTTGTCCGTCCCC